AACGACCATCTAGTGGGCTCCAGAGGAAATTGAGCTATCAAAAAACACTCAAAAATGGCATCCTATTACAGTATTGCATTTAAAGGTCAAGTTAAAATGGGCTTGAAAAATTTAATTTCTACAAAAAAAATAAAAGAAGAATACAGATAAAATTAAAAAACAAATATGTTTAAGGCAACTAATTTTATAATAAATTGCTTTATAAATCTTAATAAAATCTAATACTTTTAATTGGGTTCTTTATTGCCCACTGCACGCAAAAAATAAATTTAAATTCATTGCTGAATTATATTAACCATTAGTTTTGGCTTGACTTTTGGTCTCAGAATTTGGCAATTTGAAGCTGATGATAACTCACACGTTCTACAAAGATTTTTTGTATTATTTTAATTAAAAAATTAAATTATAAGTGGTATTAATTTAATTTTACAAACAATTGTTATATGGTGGCCATCTGGGTTAACAGGCAGAAAAAATCCAGCATCGACCTGCAGCGTTTTCCATTTAGAAATCTTGTAAAAGTTAATTGCGATTGCCGATTGGAGCTAATTGAAAAAAATTGTTTCTGTCGGCCACACTACATATTTAATTCATAGATGGCGGAAAGTGTAAGTGTGGAATCCGTATGAAAATGAAAGAAAATCATATGGAAAATTTGCATTACTTGCGTTTGATCCGCAGTTAAGACCTCGTTTATCTTACAACATTTTCATTGCCATTAACATTTTGCAAGCCAATCAACTCAAGAGCGTGAAAAACATTCACAATACATTGGCTAAAAAGTAGTTGAGCGAAAAAAGATAATAAATAATATAATTGCTAGACTCCATGGGATAAGCAACGACGAACAAATTAAAACCATGAAAAACAAGTCTTAAAAGAAACACCAAGACCAAAATGAAATAACAACATCAACTTAAGTTAGACAACAAAAAATGTTACAAATTTTCTAGTTGCCATTGTAGTGGTCGGTGCTGCTAAGATTGCGCAGTCAAAGACCTTCATGCTCGTAATTGGCAGCACCAAACTTAAGCCCATGCCCGAAAATCCCCTAGCATGAAAAAAAGACCCAAAGACGAGAGCCAAAAGGTGACGTCCCCATGAACAACAGAATATCGTGAATATAATTTATGCAAGCCACAAAAAATAAACAAAAAAAAAAAAAGAATCGACCGACAGGAGACAGGAGCCGTGTCAGGACTGAACCGTAATGAACCTTCAACTAATGGGATTTCATATGGCCTCCCTGTATCCATATTCGAAAAAAGGTTAATCACTCATCGGAGTCAAATGATCCTAAAAAGCTTGGACAAGACAATGGCTTTAAGGTTTCATGAATGTTTTTCTGCAAGAAAAATGTCTTTCTTTTGTACTCCTAATTGTTAGTAGTTGTCAAAATAGAAAATCCTTTATGGCTATTCTAGGGTATCAAATAGGCCTTAAACTAATAGTTGCCAGTTTTTGCTAGGTCTCTTTATTGCCATTGTAATTGTTTGCAATTATTACGGTTTGCAGGCAGCTTTGGGCTTTGGCTTCGGCTACGTCTCAGCGGGTGGTGGTGGTGTGGTTAGTTGTTGGTGGTTGCCGTCTCACCGGCCTGTCCACTCCCTCAGATCCTCCCGCAAAACCCGGACGGAGTGCCTGGATTTTCTCCACATTAAAAGTTTTTTGCCTGATCCATGGAATGACGTCAATAAACACATTTCGGCTTTTTGTTCGCTGTCATTTGGCTCTGGTTTGTGGTTTTAGTTGATGATTTTTTTTTAGCCATTTTCATTCGTCTATTTTATGACACTGTGCCGCGTTGATAATTGTCATTTGGCATTGCCAGGCTTGTCATCAATCCTGAACACTGATCACCGAGCAACTGTAAACCCAGAGTTTTTGTGTGAGTTTCGGTAAGCGGCTTTGATTTGTTGGTTCAATGACACAGTACGTCTCGGTTGGGGTGCCGATTTGATAGCTCATTTAAATGGTTCCATCAGGATGGAAGGGGGGCGGCTGAGTGGCTGCGACTGGGTCTGAGACTTGGGTGACAAGTGACGATCGTAGACATTTAGACGATCGGCTTTGGACAACTTTCACTCAGAGGAGACTCCAAGTAGGTGCATTTGGATAAAGAGATTAATTATATGCACGGCAAACCAATTATGTTGCTAAGTTTGTGTCTTAAGTCTTTTGTATTTGCATTGCAGGAGAAACTGAAACCTGATGGGATTTTTCCAATTTTACTTACTTATGAAATTATATTTTTTCAGGGGTTATTGACTTGAAAATTTGAGTGATTTGTTATGGAAAATTTTTGTGCTCTCCAAGATTAATCATTAATTTATTTTGATCCTAAATAAAATGTATAACTCATTGAGTTCTCTTTTCATGAGTGTGCAAAATCTATATTGCAAATCAAAATCAGATCAATTTCATTGTATCACTTAACGACTTTATTGAAAAGGCATTAAAAATCACTCGAAGGCTCTATAAATTCTATTAACCAATCCACAGATTGGTTAGATCCATTGATTCACAAACGAGTCGACATGGAATGGTTTTATGGTTCCACAAAACATTAGCATTTTTCGGAAATCCAAAGCACAGCCGACTCCCACTACAATTCAGTCCATTATGCATATCAAATGAAGCTATTAAATGTTTAATTGCCAGCATTGCCCAACATTGAAGACGGATGAAATGCAAGCTTCCACAGGGGAGTTAGGGAATCCAAACAAATTAGTTGCATTTTCCTCATTTGCATTTCATTTATGCAGATGCAGATGTCGAAGACTTTTCGTAATGTCCATGACTCCACGAACAAAGAGCCTAATTGAAGGTAATTTAAATTGATTAAACATGTCTATAGGCTGGGTCTCCAAGCCACTAAGCTCGGCTGTTGGCTGCACCACAACCCGGCTCAGTGGCTTGAGTTGGCAGTCTGTTTTGTGGAGGTGTTTGTTTGCTGCACTTTTTGGCTGCTCAATGATTTAGCATTGTCTTTGAAAAAAATGAAAAATGAAACAAGAAATGCTTGTCGTGTGGGTCGTTGTCAGTTGAGATGGGTGGGTCACCACCATTCGGCACCACAAACTCTGTGTGGGGTTCTGTTTAATATGGTAGCATGTTTTGAGGTGTTTATGGTTTAATTAAGCCCGGTAACGATGAAATATGAAAGGATTGAAATCCGTAAGCCAGAGGAAGATATAAAAAACAAATAGACTCTTACGTAGACCGTACCAGTCTGACATCATGATGGCCAGCAGACAACCTTGGCCCAGGCTAGAAATCCGATTTTTCTATGAATCACATTTGAGCATCCTGTTTAAGCCCAAAAACAAAAAATTAATGCCGAGAAATGCAAACAAATTGCAAACAGCCTGGCAGAGTTCATTGGAAACATTAGCTAGAAAATGATTTATAAAGAATTTTATTTTTGTTTCAGCCAAAAAAGGCAAAGCCAACAATTATGACTTGAAATCATTTTTGTTTTTATTCTCTGTAGATTTTTTCTTCGCATTTGATTCTACTTTTAAAAAATATTATGGCATAACAAAAGGAACAAATGTGAATAAAACCATTAAGAATTATTGCGAATTCAAAGCTCAACTCCACTCAAAATGAATTTTGGTCAGTTTCAACATTAAACCTTATCTGGTTATGAAGGGTGTGGAGAATAAAGTGTCAGGAGGCACATTGGCACTTAATTAAACAACACAACCGAAAGGCTTTACTCAATTTTTGGGGAGAAGGATAAGCTTATTTTGGTTCCCACCTCCTCCCCAATATGCAGAAAATGCATTTCGTGGAGCCCCTGTAAGTTAAGCTTAATTAAAAGCTTAACCCCATCTCGCTGTGGTGTCGAAATGCTCTTAATGTCAACCTCAGCTGCCAAAAGCAACCCAAGTTCTAACTCTGACATTCAGCTCGACCGATAAACCGACAAAAAGGCGCGTGCCCGTAAAATAAAAATAAATAGCAAAGAAATCAAGTCCTATCGTTGTTTTTTGACGAGGTAATGCAATATGCCATAAGCGTTGAGTTCCGCGCCCAGTTTTCCGTTTCAATATCTTTCGGAGGTGACAATTGGGGACAACACCTTTTGAGTCCAAATGGTAATTTGCACTAATGTACGCCACAAGTCTCTGCGGGCACATTTATCGTCCAAAAAGCATTGAATATAGACATAAATTGAAGGATATATTAAAAAGGTTGGGTAGTTACTCAATACTATAAATCTGCATATAAAAATGGGAAGTAGTCATAGGGTTTGATCTTATCGGAGCACGGCGATGACTAACCAAGAAACTATAAGACAGGCAATAGAATCATTGAACTTGAATGTGCAAAATAATGATTCATGGTGGGTAGGCAAAGTACTTTGTCCTCCAATGAACCCTGATGAGCTGGATAGGAAATGATATCTAGATATGGAAATATCATAGACAAATCAACTAATTAAATGAGAAAAATAACTTTATAAATCGGACAAAAGAAAGCAGAGTGAATATTCTATGCCATTGTTGGCGGCTCTTAAATAGAGCATAGAGAGAAATGGGTTCGGAAATCATAATTATAATTATGGGAATGACTTCTTGAAGTAAAAGAGAATGTAGTTCTTTCATTTGTAATGTTTGCCAGCTTTCATAGCAATGAATTAACAAAAGAACAAAGATAGGAAGCTTAGTCAATGAACTCGTGATGGGAGTTTGAGAAGTAGTCAGGTAGAAATTATTTGCATTCTAAATGTGGTAGCTAATTGTATTAATTAAATATTCATTGTGATCAACCAGAGTGAATTTTTTGTTAATTCAAATATTGTCGACTGGTTTATTTTGTTTGCCATTTCCTTCTACAATTTGTCTTTTTGGCCAACTTCTCTCGGGTTAATTTTGGCTATTTGCATGTAAGATTCGATGCCTAGTAAACACGTAAAAACAGGAAAATTTATGGCCAGGGGCTACCAAAAAAGTTCAGTGGAAATAAATCAAAAAGAGACGAATTGCACATACCTGTCCGCGATAGTCGATGGCGTTGATATCTCTTTTCGGTCCCACTGAGTCCACTGAAGGCGTTTTAGCTTATATTTTATTTAGCTTTATTTCATTATATTCTGGTCCGATGCAGGAGCCAACAACAACTGCACATTGACATCAATGTCGCTTGGCCGCTTTTTTTCCCCGGGCCTTGTTGACTGTATGTTCACCAACACACTTACGCACGGACACACACTCGCACAGAGAGACTCGCTCACAGACAGGGCTCAATGAATCAATGGCAATTCGACGAAAAAACGCGTGGTATAGGGGATTGTTTTTTTTTATTTAATTTTTAATATATCTTGCTCTTGATGAATACAAAAAAAATAAGCTGAAAACGCAAAGTCAGCAAGGCAAAGCATGTGGCAAAAAATTATTGAAAAATATTGAAAATAAAGTTTCAATGATCTAGCTGCAAGTGGGCGATTGTCTAAGTGTAACAGCTGTTGCCACAGGTGGGTTGGCTAGCTGGCTAGCAGACTAAGCTATTGGCTAAGAGCATGGCCAAAAGCTAAAACTTCTGAGCGTTGCACTTGACGGAGCATATGCAAAGCGGGCAGCTCTAACCTTTCCCTTTCTCGGACTTTTCCTTTTGTCTCTCAGATCTTTCACTTTCTTAGCAATTGTTTTCGGAACTCTGCCTAGTCGGCTGCCTGCCTGGCCGTTAAGACGCAAACTTAATGCCAACTTAGTGCTTAGTGTTTAGGGCCTGAAGCTCTGGGGTTTTGAATTTGCTCGTTTTTGCATTTCACACTCAACGCTTCACTTCAAGAGGTACGCGTCTGTCTGACATCAGTCACAGGCACAGCGTCTACAATTGTATAGTGTTTACTCTTGTTTTTGTTCCAGCGAAATTATCTAGATTAACTTTATACTTTTATTTTCGGCACCGCAGAGGTGTGCGCTCGTACAGTATCTACTCGCGAGTGTGCGGATACACAGCCACACATTTATTTTGTACACATATGTCTGTTTGGGTCTGGGTTTTGGACGAACTCGTTTTAGGCCGACTGCCGGACTGCTTGGGAACCGAACCGACTGTCTCGCACGCCAACGCTATACTAAAAGAGTTTTGTGCTCGCACCGCGCATTAAATAAGCCGCGTCCAACACCTGGCTCTAACGTTTCGACTTGGCTCAGAGGCTCGCTAGCCCAGCTCTCGGATGATGTCAGCTAGTGAGCTACGCTCTCCCGGTGCGCTGGAGCTTGGCCCGTAAGAGCTTCGTGGCCTGAAAGAGAATCAGCCCAAGCCTCTCTTTGGCTTAGTTCTGTTTTCATTTAATTTATTATTACTTACAATAACCATTCCTACACGGTGCCCAAGTCATTGTAATAAAAGTTGATTTATAGTGTATTTCTCAAAAAGGAGCTCCACAATAAACGGTAATAACAATTGAAAGCGATCTATGGGTAAGTTAAGTGCTCAGGAATGAAGTCATTCTTCTGCCACCCACTGCTGTGATTAAATCTGAGGAGGTCAGAGGAAATACTTTGAAATACTACAACTTTAATTATATTTTCTTACTTTTGTTCTTAAATATTAAACCATATTCCATACTTACCTTCTATAATTGTATATACTATCCCTTGTCAACTGTGACAACCCTATTGAAACTCTCTTTAAGAGTCTCCAAGCTGCTCTTACCAACCGGCTTTTGTTGCCCCATCTGGCGCTCAACCGGCGTTTTTAACGTAACGTACAACCCGCTTACGTGTTTCGTAAGGCATTCAAGTGTGCCATTGAACCAAGCTTTATGGGTCTTGCACTGAATCTGGAGATTATTAAAAACGAGCATTAATCTTTTAAGGTGTCTGTCTACTGGCCGGCCCAGTTAAGCATTTACTGCCTCTGGCCAAAAGCGAGGTGTCATTGATGCTCTCTCGGCCAGGGGAATTAAGCCATTAATTAGAACAGCACACTTTCGATTCAATTTCGCACATTCGAGTATCTCATTGCTGAACGTGGGTCGAGCCCAATGCAGTCTAGACTCTAGACCGATTACTACCCTACCTACAGCACTCATGACAACACGCACGATCCGAGATAAAATCCATGTCAAGTTCAGGCTGGTAGTAAGGTCTTGCCACGCACTGGGGCATGAAGATCGAACGCTCCGGCTGGGAGATCAGTTCTATGAAAACCCTTCAGTGGGTGGCTGAAACTAAAAACTAAAACTGAGCAAAAACTTGTCTAAGGTTGCAGTGCTGAGCTCGTTGCCCGAGGCGGTTTTCTCCATGGCTCTAGCTACACGCGCCACTTGACCCTTTCGGGGTCGGGCGGTTCAAAAACGTGGCTTTGGCTGCCGCATTCGCAATGCAATTGAAATTGGATTTGGATTGGGCTTGGGTTCGGGAGTTGGACTGTGCTTTTCCGATTTTCGAATTAGCCGCACTACTTGCTCGGTAGCCTGACCGGCTCTTGTACTGCCGTTCTCTTCCTTGGTGGAGTTTTATATTTTTTATTTCGCTACAAATTTTTAACAAATCGCATTTGAAAGTTATGGCACGAGTTTTAAGTTATCGTCGCCAGGCCAACAAATTGCACCTCGGAGTGTTATTGCTTTTCTATTTTTGGGGATTTTGTGTAACAATTTTTTCTCAATTTCTTTGGTTATGAATAGCTAACGGCAAGTGGTAGTTTCTCCAAACTTGGCTCATACCAACACAAGCAAAAACCAGACAACTACATGTTAGAAACTAAATAACTTCATAATTTTTTTTATTCTCAACTGCGTATTTTTGTCTTAATAAGCATATGAAATATCTGTACATCTTTTTAATAAAATGACGGAACTTAACGCGTTAATGCATCCGTTAATGAGCACCAAATGGGCGTGATCCCCTCGGGTATCACACCACGTACACCACGTGCCACAAGTAAACATAAAAGTAAATTAGAAATACTATAAATATACACAAAAAATCAGCAAATCCCACAAAGAAAAGGTAAGCAAATATTTTTTGTATGTTCATCTGGGTGCTTCCTCAAACAAGTTGCTGTATGTACGTGTTTTGACATTCTTCCTGAATTTGACTAGACGGTGCATGCTTGACTAATTGCCAAACACAAAACCTTAAAAAAAGCCAACAAGCTTTAAGATAAAACATTTAAATACTCTTTTAAAAATATTAATTTAATTGAAGGCTCAAAACTGAGGTTTTTTTAATCGTATTGAGGTCAAGTAGCTCTTTTTAAAGACAAATAAAGATTTAATTTTTTACTGCTGGTATAAAATCATTATACCCTTCGAGAAAGTGTACAGAAACACAGAAAATGCTTAATTAGCCGCAAAGCATAAAGAAGACGTTTTTGGTGGAGATTTTTACCTTTTATTTTATGTTTGCTGTTTGTGAAGACACGCCCTGGAAATCGGCAAAGGTTCAACTGATGACGTTTTGCAGTGGCTTCCGGTGACACCACAGATTGCTGAGTCAGATGGCTTTAAAATGTTTATTTTTTTAAAACTTAATTGATTGATAATTAATTGAAATTTTTGTATAATTGTCATATTAGCTAAAAGGTTTTTAGACATAGTCAACACTTAATGACAAGCTTAATAACAACTTAAACAGAAACCTATAAACAAATTATGAAAAGGGCTTAGAACCAAAGGATGTTCCTAAGAATAATTCCTAAATTCCTAAGAATACTTCTACAGTTTTTAAGCTGGACACATGTTTTTGTCATCTGTTTGTTTATGTTTGATTTACGACTTAAATTTGCATTTGTCCATGTACGTGCCCTTTTTGACAAAATTAAAAAACCAAAACGAAAAAAAGAAAGGAAAATCGTGTGTTTATGAGACATTTATGGGGGAATATGTTTTGAATATTTAATTAGAGTCGGTCTTTGGCCACGCGCTAGTCTTGGCCGAGATTTGAAGTGAGGACTGATGACATAACACCAACTATTTATGATATTGGTCACAATGCAGGATCATTGTTTCCGAAAGGGTGTCAAAACATCGATGGCAACGATAGATTGCCAACTCTCCGGACATAAGCTATATTGGTGGAAGGCCTTGAAAGACAAGAAACCAACTTCCATCATGCAACGCTCTAATAAATGAACCATTTTTGTAAGCCAGCAAATTGAGTCATATGCTGCGATGTTTAAGCCAGAGACTATTTGCCACAAATTTGGCTCTCGAGCAGTAAACGTCGTTTGGCGCACGATTAGCCCCCGTAACCTGTGACCCCGTCTAATCAATGTTCATCTCCGGCCCTGATGTGTGTGGCATGCCCCAGCAGCCAGCAACCACCAGCCCAGTTAGCTGGCAGCCGAGCCGAGCCAAGCCGCCTAGACTAGACTGCTGCAGCTCACATGCTTTATAAGTAAATACTTAGGTGCATACATAACACTTGACTGACCCAATTCAAGAGTCGCGCACTCTCGAGCCTGGGCTCTGAACCTTTTAAAGAGCTATTACATGTTGCAGCCAAAAGATTAAATGGAGCCCAAAAGCGGGCTGCCAGCAAAAACAACAGCAAATGCCACAACCAAGCCATGCTAAAAAATATTGCGTTGTCTCCGGTTGACTGACAGGACAGAAGTCGACGTCCCGGACAAGATTACTCTTAGCAGATTACAAGGCTCCTAAATTATATAAATTAAAAGTTGGCTAGAAAGGTGAAACTAAATTGAATAAACTTTAAAATAGGTTCGATTCTCCATATAACTTAGTGTCTTTTGATGACCTCATGATCATTTAATTTTAAAACCAAACCATAAAAAGAACTAAAGCCTTCCCCAACATTCCAAGCACTTCCTTCCTGTCCTGTGTATTTCAAGATCATTTATGTCATTGGATTTGATGATCACTTAATTAACTAGAAATGCTGACATTTTGGATATTTCCTACGGGCCTAAACGCAGATCAAGCCAAACGATAAAAATCTCCAAGCTATGTATATGCAGAATAGCTGAGAGATGCTACCAACTAGAAACGTCAAATAGTTTAGGCCTTATAGAGCTAAACTAATTGGCTTCCTGGCCAACAGAAATGGCGAAGACCACATCTCTGGTTAAATAAACAATTTAATTATAAATAAATAATTAAATAAATGTCTTAAGTGGACAGCCAATTTACATGGCATGTAAATGTTTTTGTTCTGCCCAGTTGGATTCTGGCCAAATTCTATAAATAAAATTCATATAAATCAGTCAGTCAAACGATTTTGGACAAGTTCAAGTTTTTGCGGAGAAGCGCGATTATATAGCAAATTTGTATATTGTATATCCATACAGTGCGTTTCATAAACATTGAATTGTAGCGAATTAAAAAAAAAAAATGTTGAATGGAAAAAGGCACCTTGAGATATTTTGCTTAATAATCTAATCCACAAGAAATAAATTCACGTGAATTTAAAAGTGACTTACTCTTTCGATAAGAACTGTTTATTTGGTATAGGCTGTCAGTGGATCGATCGGCCTTTTATGGCAACTGGACCATGTGGCAAAGCTGAATATCAAATTGTTCAAGTATTTCTATATCGCTTGTTCCCCTCGATTTGTGGATCGTCTCAGTCTGAGACCCACGCGTGTTAATTACAAATTGTTTGTTGTGCTTTTTGTTGGTGCGGTTACCGTAGTCGTTATTGTGGTTCTTGCCATTGTGGGTATTACTTTGTATTTTTAATTTCTAATTTTATTCGTCTCTATAGTTTCGAGGCGCGCAACTTGTGTCACATTTAGAGGGAACGTATTTATCATGTCAGCAATTAATCAACGGAGTTGTATTATTTAATACCAGTTACATATGCCCGCCAGATTCCATTTTGAATAATTAAGAAGTAAAATTACGTAGATTTTAGAATTATTTTCGAAATAATTATACTGACCCAATTGGAAAAATTATTCAAAAATGTTCAGCTTCTAGTGACTGACATAAACACGAAAGAAACCTGATGACACACCATAAGGACCATAAATATTTTCAGTTCCAATTTTGCTCTAGTCAGTGGGTAGACAGCGAACGGCAAGTCTATTATTGCATTTTTATTATCTCTTAGCTTTTCGTAATTATTCAACTCATTTTCATTGGGGG